TAAAGATAACATGGTTCATTCATGTTGAGGAAGTCTGATTGTCTGAGAATGACATTGCTCCTTCGCGTTGAGGAGATCTGGTCGGTGAACAACATTGTTCTTTCATATTAAGGACGTCTAGCCATATTTGGAGATACTTTGGAGACAATACGGTTCCTTCACGTTGAGAAAGTCTATTTATCTGAGGATGGCACTGCTCTTTCGCGTTGAGAAGATCTAGTCAGTGGATGGCATTGTTCCTTCGTGTTGAGGATGTCTAGCTATAATTTGATGTTTTGATTTGACATGGTTCCTTCTTGTTGAGGAAAATTAGTTGTTCTTTAAGGATTGTGAATCTGAAGACAATGTTTCTCCTTCTTGCCGAGAGAGTCTAATTGTCTGAAGATAGTTTGACTTTGAAAACGACATTGCTCTTTTATGCTGAGGAGAGCTAATCATTGCTCGGTGCCAAATCTAATGATAACATTACTCATTCTCGTTGAGGAGATCTAGTCATGGTTGCCAATGATTACCTTGAAAATGAAATCTTCTTCTTCAACATGGGTTTGTGAAATGAAATTCTCTACTAACTCCTCGAATTCTTGTCAAATATTCAACATTTGAGCGAAATCAAATGAGTGGAATGAAATTTGTTTCCAGAGAAGCTATCTCAGGTGAGATAAAATTTTCTGTCGAGTGAAACAATTTCAAAATTTACGTTTCAAGGGAAAATCATCTCAAGCGAGACAAAATTTGTTATGAGAAAAACACTCTCAAGTGAGATCAATTTTGTTTCAAGTGAAACAATTTCAAAATTTGTGTTCCGAGGGAAAGCTGTCTCAAGTGAGACGAAATTTATTTTTAGAAAAACAATCTCAAGTAAGATCAATTTTGTTTCAAGTGAAACAATTTCAAAATTTGTGTTTCGAGAGAAAACTGTCTCAAGCAAGATGATTTTTTTAGAGAAACAATCTCGAAGGCTTATGTTTCAAAAGAAATTGTCTCAAGCGAGACAAAACTTTGTTTGGAGAGAAACAATCTCAAAAATTTATGTTTCAAGAGAAACTGACTCAAGTGAGACGAAATTTGTTTTTAGGAAAACAATATAAAGTGAGATCAATTTTGTTTCAAGAAAAACTGTCTCAAACGAGATGAAACTTTGTTTCGAGATATGGGCCTTCAATAATGCCCCAACATTGATCATTTCTTGCTCCAACACTGATTCTAAGCATGAGCTTCCGTGTTTGGGAGATATGTGCCAACTACCAAAATCTACTCCAGAGATATTGTCTTTTTTGAAAATGTTTTTCTTCTTCTTTTATTTTCAAAATTGGAAAAAGATCAATTAAAAGAATTTTGAAAATGTTTAATTTTTTTTTGAAAAAAAATTCCCTTTTCTAGGTTTCACTATTGAGACAAATCATAAAACTATAGTTCATTTGACATCAAAGAATTAATTACTCTCTTAATCCTTCAAACTTATAGCTCTTTGAAAAATGTCAGGATTAGGATTGGTTTCAGGTTGGCTTCCTTTTTTCTAAGGTTTCAACCATCAAGTCCTTCTTCTTGTTCCTGCTCTTTGGAATGTTATACATGCCTCTCATTTCTGGCTTGGCATTTAATTGGGTGCAACCAAAATGTCGCAACTAGCATAATCAATTGCTATACCTTTTAGAACATTTCTATTTCAGTTATTTGAAATCTTCCATTTGTTCAAGCTTCGTAAACTCCTCTAACAAAGGCAGTGCAGAAATATCGTTCTACAAATGAAATTCCTGAGTGCTCGTGTGAAATTGACTATAACATGTGTTCCTCAACTCTCTTAGTCCATCTTCACCGAAACTCTTGATTTAGTAAATTTGATTTAATTTGCAAATTGTTTGACTAGCTGAATTCAACTTTATTATACATATATATTTTATAATTGTCTTTATTTGGCTAGATGAATTTATCCATAAAACCAGGGCGTTTAACCAATTACTCTAGAGGGATATCTTAAGATTTATTGTATACATATATAATTATATTTTGGGTATACTGATTCAATATCTTAAGCTTGTTAAGAAGAACCTGTTATAGTGCAGGTGTTGTTGAAAGTAAGAAAATCTCATCCTTAGAGTTCAATTTCCCAGCAACTGACCTAAACTAGATTCACCTACTTGACTATTTCATTGTGAAGATCATGATTATCATTGATCGCCATCAACAAAAGTAGAAACTAATCAACTTTGCAATCTCATGTGCAAGATGCCCCATTTTGTTCACATCCTTATATACCTTAATGCCAAGCCCTTAACTGTCTCTTCATGCGAGAAGAAGGCTAGCTTGGTCCATGCAAGAGAAGGGTATGTATTCTGGTGTATCTTTTGGAGTAAGATTAAGGGTTCTTGTTTTACAAAGGTTCAATCTTGTCACTTGCCCAGAGGCCATAATCTTAATTCTCAAGAAAGTTTTTTATTCAAATTATATTAAAAGAACTGCAAGATTAAAACTCGTTCAATTGTTCAAAACCTTAGAAGGTAGCATAAGTTCAATTATCAAAATATTTAAAAAATATTTAAGCAAAATATAGAACAAAAACGAGTTCAAATAAGATAGCACTCTTAATGCAACTGCAGGAAAGTTTCATGGTAGATGCAATGACTTCTCGATCCACATCAGAATGCCCCATCATTCTTCTAATATCCATGCCCCTGAATTAATCAAATTCTGAATCTTGCGCTTCAGTGCGTTACTATTCTCAGTGGAATGCCTTGAACTTCCTATGTGATACCTACACACGACATTTACATCATAGCCTTCAGGATATGACGACTCATTCGACTTGGATTAGACTGGAGTCACCAAGTTCTTCTCAATCAGTATTGGAAGTAATTCCTCATTAGTTATTGGAACTGGGTCAAATTGACTCTTTTCTTGGATCATCCTATAAGGCTCAGCCTTACGACAAGCTGAATAGGCTACCACTATACTGACTTCAGCTTTCTCCTTGGTGTCAGTGCTTCTTGCATTTCTCAGTTTACCATTCTTGATCGCCTTTTCAATCATTTCTCCACACATGATGATGTCAGAGAATCTCTTAGTGGTAGCCCCTAACATGTGGTTGATATATAGAAATTTTAATGTATCAATGAATAAAGTGATGAACTCCCTTTCAATCATTGGTGGATGCACTTGAGATGTAAAATCCCTCCATCGTTGTGCATCAGAAGCTCTAACTACGCTTAATCTCCATATTTTATAGCGTTGTTTGATCAGGGGCCATATCAGTCATGTGCTTGTATTGACCCAAAAAGGCATGAGTCAAATTCTTCCAGGGGTGGATTTGAATACGATTCAGTTGATTATACCACTTAGAAGCGGGTCCACTCAAACTGTCTTGAAAACAGTGGATCAACATCTGATCATTGTTGGTGTATCCAATCATCCTCCTAATAAACATCGTGAGATGGGTAGTAGGGCAACTGGTTCCATTGTACTTTTCTTAATCATACATTTTGAATTTGGGTGGGAGCACCAAGTTAGGAACCCAGAATAGTTCACTTGCATCAATTTCATCATGAAAGCTTTGTTCTCTCATTCTTTTGAATGTCTCTCTGCACCAATTTTTTAAGTTCTCTAGGATCTCATTCTTGGCTTTTTTCATCTCATCAGAATCGGACATGTTGTAATCAGTGGGGTTATCCTGAGGATCTATCACAATTGCTTGAGTCTTAGCGACGGAGGAGCCTGCTTGGTGGCTTGGAAGCCTCTCGGGTGAAATAAGTAGTTGTAGATTAGTATGTGCTAATACACACTTAGAGGTCTCCATGGTCGAGGAAATCTTCTTTTTGTCTCTTTCTTGGTTGAGACCAATCAATTTTGCTACAATTTACTCTACCATGTTGTCTTGGTTTTGTAAGATACGATCCACAACGACCTTATGCACTTGCTCCATTTTAGCTTCCCAATTTGTTTGCATCCTTTGTAACTTCTCTTCCAGTTCTTTCTTCAGTTTCTCAAATTTTACTTCCATTATGTCACGTGATTAGTACCACTGTCATCGAATTCTCCATGAATTAATCCCCATGTTTTCATGAATGATGAATGTGAAAATGCTTAAATAAATGAAAAGACGGTGTGAAATGAAAATATGCAAATGAAAATACAAAAAATGTTGATCCCAACGACGAATACCATAGAACAATTTTCATCAGAGATAAAAGTATTCACGTTACATGGCAGTCCATTTTATAGACATGATTTCTCTTAGATGCTGGGTTTTGCAAGGGGTCTATGCTTCATCTTGGAACGTCGTCCTTGAAAATTATGCCCCTCAAGTGCTCTATAACCTATCTCGGTTAATGCACATGTAGTACTAAAATCATGCGGCATGCCTTGATGATTGGCGATGGAACGATCGTAGATAAGACTGCTTGATTGAAAACTTTGATCTCTCATAGTGAAAATTTTCACTTAAATATCTCCTTGCGGATCAACAATTTCACATTACGTCATGTCGATAAAATGCAATGCAAAATGGATGAAAAATGACACAAAAAATTAGAAAAAAATGAGTTAGTACAGGTAAGATAATCGATACATATAAAAGTGCTCTTCAGAGATGAATATAACACCTATCCCATCATGGTATCTACCCGAGCATGCTTTTATTAAATAGCAATCCTACCCATATATGCTTACCTGACATGCTTTATTTTCAAGAAATTGATCATAACCACATGGTATCTAATTCACAGCTTTCAAAAGAAATATATTCTATGAATTTAAAGCAAAATGTAACGGTTTTTGACCGCAACAATCGTGATGTGGTTCCTTTAGTGCGTTACATCGATATTGTGTCGAGATAACCTTAAAAAAGTTACGATGCAGGCGTAACGCTGCGTTGCAGCCGCAATTTAGTACTATGCTTTGTGTCGAGCGGGAGTCAGGTGTCAAAACCAGAAAGTACGTACTGTACTGGCTTGAAGACTGATTCAAACGGACGCCGATTGCTTGTGCGCGGCGTTTAAGAGCAGTGCTTCGCTCGGCGTTACTCTGAATCTCACTGGGGCTTCCACCTTGCCCGCTGTTTGCAGTATCACCGTTTCTTCCGTCCCTAAATTTGCATGTGAGTGACGCTTCACTTTCTTTTCTTTTTACCGAAACCCATATTTTGATGGAAATTTTGGTTATTTTCCGGTGTTCTTCTGGAAAAAAGAAATTAAGAACAATCGATTTCATCTTTTTTATTTTGGCAGAATCTCTTGTGCCTGCTGCTGCGCTAGGTATGATCCCATAAATCTAAACTGTCTATTGTAAAGGCATAATTATGCTCTTAGTCCCTATACTATGCTTTAACTTGCATTTCCGTTTTTCATTTTAATTTGAGATAATTTGGTCACCCTACTTTAGATTTGTTAATTCTAACTAAAATTTGAAAACTATATTTGATTGATCCAAATCCATTTGATAATAAAAAACTATTAATAATATGAATTTGGTATATATCTAAAAACAATCCTAATAAGAAATTCAAAATAACAGGAATAAAGATTACCTAATTAGAAAAATGAACTTGAAATGATTTGAAAATTATTAATCTTTATTAATTCAATTTAAATCGACTTGATTAAAAAATAATCCATACACCCAATTCGTAGAGTCTACTATAGTTTTTAAATTGTTATTAGAGTGCTGAAATTGAAGCGTTGCTTATCATAAAAAAATTTATGATAACTTTCTTAAAATAACTTTAGCATTATCAATGTTGATGGATCAAATTATGTCATATTCAAAATTGCAAATAGAAAACTAAATCACAAACATCAACCTAAGATGACGACTGAACTTATTTTTAAAATTGGCTGCTAAATTTGTAGGTGTGCAACCATCACCGACAGCAGGTGCGCCAACAACCGGACCAGGAGGAGCGAGCGACGCAGCGCCGACACCGGCTCCTAGTAAAGCAGGCTCACCGGTGCTCTCTGTTTCAATGGGATCTCTTGTTGTAGGGCTCCTCATAGTTATGTTAGTTTAATTTCTGGGTGAGTGAAAGACCAGTTTGATGTTTAGCTCTGGTGATTTTGTAGGTTACTCTTTGATGGGTTAATGGAAACTATCTTTGAATTTTATACAATAGATAATAATTTACCCATTTTCATCTCTGTTCTCTTACGGTTTATCTAAACTTTAAAGTATATTATTATTTTTATCTGTTTACTTAAATATAAAATAGGTACTAAAGTAAGGAATTTTGCTTACTCAAGCACCTTAAATATTTTTTAATCAATGTTATAAGTCAATTTTTAAAAATTTAAATGAAAAACACGTTGAAGTACTTAGATTATAACATTTCTTTATTACGAAGATATCATGCTTGAACTCCATACTTGAAAAAATAGTAATTTTTTAACCATCAATGTTACTTTATTCGTGCACTTATATTACAAGTTTGAATATTTTAATAAAATCACATTAGATATTTAAATAAAAAAGTAATATTTTTTAATAATTATATGTGATATAATCTAATAATAATAACATCAATGATCATATTATAATATTTTTTTTGAAGAATGACAATTAAATTTCATTTATAAAAATAATGAAATGAATCAAAATTATAATGTATGTAAGTATAGAGAGAAAATTAGAGACAATAATCATCAAAATACTTATATAAAAATAAAAATAATAAACTCAAAGATACGAAGAAAAACAAAATATTTTATTGAGAATGACGACTAACATTAAAAGAACTCGGTAACCTTCATAAAAATTATGTCTCTGTCGAATGAGACATTTTACGAAGTGATAAAGGAGTGGTGAGCGAATCAAACTCTTTGTCTCTGTTTCGCTACTCAATTCTAATTATATCGGCGAATTAAACTATATGTGATCATCAACAAACCAATCAAAAAATATATGTCATGATGGTTTTTGTGTGAGCATCAAAACGACCGCAAATGTATGTGAAAGTGTGCCGAAAGTCATAAGGATCGTGCCACAATAGTAAAGAAAACACGTACCACAAGAACATAGAAAAATGTGTTATAATGATAGAGATTCTTATTCAAAATTTAAAAAAAATCAAGAAAAAAGAAAATAAATGAAATAGTATACAAAACAAGAGAATTATTAATCATTGAGTGTCGGTAACCAACATTAAGATTAATGTCATTACTTGTTAATCAAGGGGAAAGAGGAAGGTAGCACAAATATATCGAGAAAAAAAATAAGTTAAAACTAGATTCTTATTCAAAATCCTTTTCAGCTATTGATAATACACGTCTATAAATATAACGGCTTGAACTTATAATCTTTAGAGAGAACAATAATTCTTTTAACCACTAAAATTATTTGATGTGGTTGATTTTTATTATTTAATATTATAATTAAACATATTTGTAAAATTAAGTATATCTTGATATCTAAAGGTAAAAGAAGTCTTGAAAAGAAATAGGCTTTGACTTCTATTAAGAGGGGAAACGTATGGGCACGTGTGATACATATACATACACACACATTTCAAAGCTGACAACCTTTGCTGAAATTAAGGCGACGTTTAGTTCGTTGGAATGTTGTTGAGAGAATTAGAATATGTGAAAGAATTAGAATCTGTCAAGAAATGAAATTTGAATATGGAACATGTTTGGTTGGCAGGAAATTGAATTGAAATCCAATTCTATATTCTGTTTGGTTCGCAGACATGTTATATGAATTTGATTTCAGTAATGTAAAATGACAGAATTGCCCTTCTTATTTTTTTACTTTATTTTAGTTTGTTTTATAACTTACATGTAGAAATATATTATAAAATTTAAAAAATATTAAATTTTCATTTTATTGATTGATTATTCATTTCAATAAATTATAAAAATTATGCTAATAAACATCATAAGTTAAAATCATCGCAATTAGAGATGACCATGGGTCATGTTGGGTCGGGTTTTTGGTCCACCCGACCCGACCCGAGAACAAGGGAACCTCCACCCGAGACTCGACCCGACCAAAATAAAGTTTCACCCAACCCAACCCGAATATATAAATTAGAAACCCAACCCAACCTAATACAAAATAATAAAAAAATATTTTTATTCAATAAAAACAGTGACTTAATTAAAAAAATTATATATAGAGGGGTATTATTGTAATTATTGCTAAACCCTAAACCAACCCGAATATCACACTTAAAAAACCCGACCGAACCCGGATTTTTTTTAAAAATCCGACCCGATCCCGAAATTTAAAAAAAAACCAACCCGAACCCGACCCGAATATCACACTTAAAAAAACCCGACCCGAATATCAAACCTAAAAAACCTGACCCGACCCCGAATTTTTTTTAAAAAATCCGACCCGATTCTGAATTTTTTTAAAAAAAATCTGACCCGAATACCAAAAGAATGATGAGGGTAGTATGGTTAAATTTCACATTCCTTCCTCTAAAAGATTTCAATTCTATCATGTTATAGATGTAATTTACTTTTCCTCATTTGATATAATTGGATTCTAATTTCCCACTTGAAAACTTGAACTAAACATGGGAAAGTGATGAAATTAGATTTTAATTCTCCCTAATTCCAAGGGATTTTAGCGAACCAAATGCCACCTAAAAATAAAATGACATGAAAAGGACATACAAGAAAAATTTCAAAATGCCCTCTAATAATTAACTTCAATTTACACTTTTACTCAAACTTTGTTGAATCACCCTCCATATATATATACATCTTTATTCACTATTCACATTCAAAGCTCCTTCACCACCCCCTTCTTCGGCATCGAACCATGCCTTGAATCTCCAGAATTAGTTTGACAACAACTTATGGTTCTAAATCCATTTTGGGAGCACATGTTTTTACTGCGTCTTCCACAGTGAGAAAGATCTTATCTTCCCCTATCATCTCATGAAACTTCGAGGCATGGAGCTTGTCCACCACAACTGGCGCTGGATTTGCTAAAACAAGCTGCAAAACAATGGACTTTGCATAATAATAAACCCAACTTCCATTCAAGTTCAACGTTTGAGGTTCTTTTACACTAGGTTACCTTAACATCCCTCTTCTCAAGGCTTCTCAATAGCTCTTCCATGGCATGGATGCCACTTGTGTCAATGTCAGTAACAGCTGATCAAACAATGTAAAGTTCATTAGAAACAGTTCTTTTGGTCATAAGGTCCATCGATGAACCGGAAACGAAAATCAAATATTGCTTACGTGACATTTCGACGACCAGGTACTGAATTCTGGGTTGGGAGTTTTCTTTCAGTTTCTCTTCTTCATCCATCAGCCGTCTCAAAATCCTGCAAAAAATTTGAACTTTATGAATGTGTATATTTGGACAGAGTTCATTTCCTTTTAGCTCTTCATTTATGTGGAAAAGCTAACCTTTCTTTTATATAGTTGGAGTTGGAAAAGTAAATTGCAGAATCAACTCTAACAATGAGGATGCCTGGAACTTTTGCTGCATCAGGGTATATGCGGATGTTCCTATAAACCGTTGTCCTTGGAAGCTTTCCCAGAACGGACGTTCGAGGTCTCGTAACTTGGAAGAGGATTTTAACGAACGATATCAAAACCTGTTGCAACAAGAAATGGATCATTTAGGTTGATGTGGTAAATCGATTGTAACTTGGGATATGTGGCAACAATCTCCATGAATTCCTCACCGCAATTAGTAGGCCTATCTCAACAGAAGAGAAAACTACACCAAAGAAGGCTCCCATACAAGCAACAAAGTCGAATTTATCGATCTTCCATATCAGAGTCATTGCTTCAATGTCAATTAAGCTAATCACTGCAGATATAACAATGGAAGCTAGTATAGCATTTGGAGTGTACTTGAATAATGGAGTTATGAGTTCCAATGTTAGTAGCACAACACCAGACATCACTATATTAGATACCGTCGTATGGCATCCGGCCATGTAGTTTACTGCCGAACGAGAGAAGCCTCCTGCAGAGTATTCTAGATGATTAATATCGGAATGATTTTATAAACAGAGAAGAGGTACGGATGCGCCGCCTTTCTGTTTTCGCACCTGTGGCCACATAACAAGATGTCATCGAACCGACGATATTCATTGTTCCTAATGCTACCATTTCTTTGTTTCCATCCAACTGGTAGTCCTTCATGGAGGCAAATGTTCTTCCAATTGCTACAGCTTCCTAAATGATAAAAGATGTAGTGATTAGAGCCTAATCTCATTGAGCCAAATCAAAGGAATAAGAAGTCAGATTCACATACCGTTAACGCCATCATACCGGCTAGAACACCGATCCTCAAACCTTTGGCAAGATATTCTCCAGAGAAAAATATTTCATCCACAGATGGTGGGTTGATTCCACTCCTGATATGTTTTACCTGAAGAAAACATTGTGAAAAATGAATCTTCATTACTTGTACTTTGTTCAAAGCTTGGAGATAATCAAACAGAAGAAAGGGTTGTACATACAATCTGAACACCGTGCTTGTCGGCTCGTGTGATGTACATGAAAAAGGTGGAGAGGACGATAGAGATCATCGGTGCAATTGCTGGCACCCAAAATAGTTTCTTCTTCTTTTTCCCCTGCTCAGTTTTATGCAGCATCATTCGATCACATTAACAGACTTTGTACATAAATGATGAAAGGAAGGATTATGATCTTACAATGTATTTTGCAACCAAAATGAAGGCAAGGAAGGACAGTCCTATTAGTATAGTTTGCCAATTCCACTGTAAAACAATGTTGCCATTAGGATTAGCCAAATTCAGAATATGTTAAATGCCACAAAACCAAAAGAATCTCAAATGTAAGATAATACTAGTCACTTACACCATGATGTGCTGCATAGAAAACCGAGCGCATGACTGAGACGATGTCAGTTTTCTTCGTAAATATTTTTATTCCGAGCAGGCCTTTAAGTTGTTGAAGGGAAACGGTAACAGCAGCACCAGCCATGAAGCCAACAATGGCAGCGTGAGATAGGAAGTCTATCAAGAACCCCAGCCTGAAATCAATCACACGAACCATTTAGCACATATGATGTATGCCCGGAGTTTCCTCATAAGACACAGGCTTTAGTACCTGAAAAATCCAATTGTGGCTTGAGTGACACCAGCAAAGAATGTAGCTGTGAACGCAAGGCGCCGGTAATCCACCGGATTTTTAGACGGGTCAATCTCGTTATGCAGGAGAGTACCAAGCAAGAGAGACACCACGGCCACCGGTCCAATGGCAATATCCCGTGAGCTTCCCATGAATGCGTAAATAAGAGGCGGAATGAAGCTACTATCTGCAATGCAATACGAAAATCAGTACAATTCCCTCATGCTTCCACCATTAAAACGAATCTTATTATGTAGAAAGATGCTTACACAAACCATATTGTGGAGGCAGATAGGCGAGCTTTGCATATCCAATGTCCTGATGCAAATTAAAAGATATCAAAACAAAAGGCAAAAAAACAGAAACTTCAATTACATTATCTAAAACATTGTTTATACCTGCGGAATGCAAAGACTTGCAATTGTAAGTCCAGCAATGAAGTCACCTTTGAATTTAGAAAGGCTATAGTGCCTTCCCCATTCAAGAATAGGAAACACTGCCTGTAAGCCTAGCACAAACTTTCTCGACCTCGGTTGATCCTTGAAATTGCGTAAAGGATCGTCGGAAAAGAAAGTTTCCTTCACAATGCATCCAATTTCTTTCAGCAGGGTCTTCTTAGGAGGCTTTCCCACCTTGTGAACATATGTCGAATTCTCCGAGCTGCGACGTGATGAAGAAACACTAATAACATCCATCTCCATGTTTCCAAGCTCATCGGTGACACGCTTACTCATTATATAACCTACATGGACATGATTTGAACAAGTTGTCATAAGAAAACCAGTAAAGAAAATGCATTTCAAACCAAAGACTCAGTAAATATTCTAACTTAAAAGGGCCTGTATATTGAACAATGCAGCTAATTGATGACCATATTACAGAAGAAGAGAGGCAAAGGTCTAAAGAGTGCCTGCAATGGAGAAAAGAGAGAGACAGAGTTTCCCATTTATACAAGTGCAAGGAGAGCAATATTAGTCAACTGTTTAACTTCAAAAAAGGGATTTCTCAGCAGTTGCAAGACAATGAGGCTAAATCCCAAGAAGTTGAATATAAATGAGGCTAAATCCCATGAACATGTGAAATAAACAATTTGTTTTTGGTATTGTTTGAAAGGAATCATTAGTTACATGTATATTATCAAAATAAACTATCCATTGTTAGTGTTGACTTTGTGAATTGATGCTCAATTGCTAAGGCCTAGAGTCATATAGCCAACATTCTGTCTTCTGCTACAACAAAAAGGAGAAAAAAAGAAGGTTTTAAATAATAGTGGTGGATATTTAATATCGGATTTGAACAAGTAAAAGAAAATCACAGGCATTTTCTATTCTCTGCTCCACCATCCTTAGTGGTTTCCCCTTTTCGAGAACTCATGAGGCTGTGACACATACTTTATCAAGATTTTTCCTTGTTTAAAGAATGGTACTGTTCATTATACATTCCATGTACATTTTCTGTTCAATGAAAGACTAGTTTTTTAAGGTTTGATATCGTCTCTTCTAATGTTATCTCTAATATTCGAATCTATATTCTCTTCTGGTGTAATATTATGTCTTAAAATTACATCGAACATCGAACATCTTCTCGATAATGATATAGTTAAAGAGATTTAAGAATAATCCATGTTTGGAGCAAGAAACAGTTCTTCCTACATATGTTATCAAACAAGTAAAAGGACTGATAAAAGAACACAATAACAAAGTGGACAGGGACAAACATATGATTTTATGTTGAGGGTGAACTTGTAATATTTTAGGAGGAGAGGAAATTACCAATAAAAAATATAAAGAAAATATTTAAAATATGTGAGAATTTAAAATTTTCAGTCCATCATGAATGTTTAGTAAACAAAGAATTATTCCTGCTGTAATATTATCTAACAGGTAAGAAAGTAAAACTGGGTTTCTACTAAGCTTTCCAAAAAACAATCATAAAACGAGAATCTTATTGTTCTTTCATCATCGTATGAACTCTGGAGCATGACCGCAAATGGAAGCAACTAGCCAACTACAACCCCACAATTCTCAAAATAAAAAAATATATAAATAAAAAGTCAGCCAAATTAAACATATTGTTCTTGTTCAGTTTTGATTCAGCACACAACCATGAACCACCATCCATAGTGAAATCACCATGCAAAGTTGCCAACCCACACATCAAAAACCCAGAAATAATTAAAACAAATAAATATGTACAAGTGGCAAAGTCAATGAATAGTTCAAGAAAGTAGTTTAACTTACAATCCACAAAGCCTGCATATCATCATCATCATATATTGTTACAAATGTCTCAGTGGAGAGATCATGAGGGAAAATTGAAAGAGGAGATTGAGGATCAAACCAAGTCTACATTCGTTGAATCTGAGACAAATAGTGAGAGAGAGATTCAGTTGAACTTTCTTTCCTTTATTTTTTCTTTACATTTCTTCATAAATCTCTGTAGTTTTGATGAATAATTAGAGAAGCATGCAAAATTAACAGATGAAAAAAATGAAAATGTCTAATGCTTTCATATAGGGTTATTCACCAAACTAAGAAAGTGTTGACTCATGAAATAATCTCAATAATATTTTTAATATATTTCTTTTAGTTTAAATCATAGTTAACCGCAATGATCATGGTGTAAACAACCTGAATTAAATCTTACATACAATCTACAATTTATATTATTTATGGTTAGACAGATTCTCTTACATAATTTTATTAATTTTAAATATATTTTGAAGGTATATTAATTGTGTAATTTAATATCTCTAAATCTATCAAAACTTAATGAATATAAACTTCTATTATTTCCAACTTTCAAGGCACGTAAGCTCAAGCTAAATTTAAAAGAAGAAATTGAAAAAATAAGTGTTGGTTGCTGGGTTAAAGTTGCAAACTCCCCTGGCTATAAATAAGAAAATAAATATTTTAATATAGTCTACTTTTGATATCCTTTTTTATACTTTACAAATAATGTTATTTGAATTTAAATATCTAAATGACATATGTCAACCTTTATCACTTAAACTCGTATATAAATCTTGTTTATTCTTCTAAAAAATACTTCAAAGTGAAATAAACATTACAACCAACAAACAACTAAATTTGAAGAAATAAACCAATAACATACAAAGAACAAAACAACACCAAATAGAGTTCCGACTAAAAATATCATTCAATAGCCAAAAAAAGAATTAGGATTAGAAACCATTTTATCACCAACTAACCTCTAACGAGTATCATCTTTGATCTAGGAAAAAATAACAACAGTCTGATGCGCTCCTTTTTCATGTTGTTTACTATTCCTTTTACCAAATGAAATAATTAAAAACACATCAAACTATGTGAACAATAGTCACCTGCAACGACTTCCCCTTGCTAAACTTCTGCAATCAATTCATCAAGGCCACCCATCAATTGTGAAGACCGACATACCTGCAAGCATGCAAGATCAATTGTCAAACTTGACAATCGCATTCAATAAATAAGTGATTGCGCGTCCCTAAAGCATCATCACATAACAAACATCTAGAATTCACTTGGTAGTCCTATCTTATCATCTTGCTTTTTGTTGGCAACATATCCAACACCATCAACCAAGAAAAAAATGTGTTGCGGGATGATCAACCCTCCCCAAACAATTATGAACCAAGGCACCCTATCCTATTTGTGCCTAAACAACTCCCACACCTTCGTCGCTTTATACTTCTCATGCAAATTACCAACAAGAGTAAAATCATCTCTAAGTTTCATTAGCTTTTTTCAAGTCCAACTATATCTAGCTTTAACCTAAAATTGCCAAATAGAGTAACTCTTCAATATATATTTCTCCATCTAAGCCACTTAAAGAGAATCAGATTGGAGTAAGATTAGCCACAAACACTTCATCTGTAACCCCTTAAATCCATGAAATGGTAAAATACTGAAATAACCATCAGAAAAGTCCATGCGATAAATATACAGAGATATCAGCGTTGGAAAACAAAATATCGGTAATACAAATGCGTGAAGACAATGGTAAAAACACGTGTCACCAAAGTATAACAAAAAGGACATACAAAAATATACAGTGGTACAAAAGTGAGGAGAGATCGGTCCTCCTAATGTTGAGTTTACTAGCCTACTGTCCTGTACTATCTGAAAAGTTTAAAATTAAAGAATGAGCTAAAAAGTCCAGTGTGCTCCTTGTGGTATATAAAACATACAGATAAAATACTTCGGTAAAAGTTGATTTGTAAAATAGGTTTTGAAAACATGAACACTACCCCATCCAATCAGCAGAATGTATAGGTTCCCCTTAACCATATGCCCACCTGTACACGCGGTAAGAAACTTATAATGATAGCATAAGGGCCTACAGTAAGGACTTACCCTGTGCACAAAGTAGAAGAGCTTGTGGAAAGAATTTACCATGTGTACAAAGCAGAGGAGTCTGCAGTAAGATCTTACAAGTCATAGACTAAGGCTGAGATATTTCCACCTATCATACCCCCAATGACAATAAATATGCATATGTTTGAGTGAAAACAGTAATTTAATACTTTAAAACATGAAATCATGACATTTTCCAAAATCAGATGCAAAAATAAGGTAACCAAAGATCATGTCACAAATATACGGTAAATAAGATATTATGCAGTCAAAGTATTTAATATAATCAAGATTTTAAAATAGTTCAGACAAATAGCTCAAAATAGTATTGTAACATCAATAGGAATAAACATGTATCGATCGGAGAAGTCAGGTACGGTAACCTACTATCTGGTTTGCCTATCACAGTCAACAACAACGCTAGATCCTTCTAATTGGAATAATTATATCAAAATCCAAAAAGAATAAATAATAAACTTCAATTCAACTATTTATAGAAACATACGAGTAGCTCCCGAAGAAATTGGACCATATGGATCTGCTGGACAGAAAACATCGAACCTAGTCGACCCTCAGTCAGGGGAATCACGAGTTCCTTCATGAAAATATAATCCCAGATAAATTCCATAATCAAATCCCAAAAAAATGCAGAAATACTAAAAATACTAAGCATTTTCAATTTAAAGGGATTGATTTGGGGCTTTTGAGTAAGAATTTGGCGAAACAGACTATAAAGTGAGACTCAGGAGGTTGCAAAACATCAACGACGATTAACAGTCAATGTTAGTAAACAATCAACGTCGGTGGTCAATGGTCAATATCAACCCTGATTATACTTCATCAAAAAATTACACTATCTCACCTCTTTTCACACCAACAATAAAGACAAGATGACGACCACCATTGGACTCGGGACGATGCAAGCAACACGATGATATGAGAGGTTTCAAAAACAGAGTAACGATCGACGATGAAACGTCGTTTAAAGTTTTCCCAAGAAAAGTTTTTTAAAAAGAAAAGCTTGAAGAGAGATAAAGTTTATGGTTTCTAGAATGGAAAATTTCAGATTTGGGAAGCTTTTACACTCACCCATAAATAAAAATGAAAAAATCATCCCATAGGTCCTTCAATTTTGTTATTTTCTAAGTTTTGCTCTGAATTTAATTAAAAAATTTATTTTGGTCACCGAATTAACCAAAATTTCAATTTAATCCTCGAGATTAAATTAGGGAAAAAAGTAGCCTCGAAATCATGGTGTGACATTATCATACAATCTCTATTCCAGACTAAGATAGTTTTTATCCACAATTCTCCTTCATATTTAGGATGACAAACTCTCTTCCAACTTAGTCTAGCCTCACGAACAGAAACATCATTTCTATTTCAAAGAAACACAAAGCAAACTCTTATAACATGTTTTATAACCTTATAAGGGAAAAACAATATCCTACTCCAAAAGTTTTGTATGCTAAAGACCACTGCCTGGATAAGTTGTAACCTACAAGCAAATGATAGGCATTTTGCAGACCAATTTCTAATTTTTTTCACAATTTTTTACACCAAACCCTTATAGTGAGCATAGGATAAATTCTTAGTTACTAAGGGTATGCCCAAATATTTCATAGGCAATGAGCCAATTCTAAACCCTGACACCCCTATTAGTATTTAAACATATGATTTCTCCATACCATAATAAAATAATTCATTTGTAAAGTGTTCATTTGCATCTCAGGCATTTTGCGAAATATTCTCAAAACTATATGAACTGCCAAAACAGAATATATATTATCTTTTTTAAACACCAAAAAGTCATCAACAAAACAAATGTGAATTAAACCAATTTTTCTACATTTTGGATGAAAATAAAAATATTATGTTTTCCTGCCAAATTCATCAAGCAAGAGAGAATATTCATAATCATGATAAACATACAAGGAGGAAATGGATCTCTTTATCTAACTCCTTTGGCAACGAAAAAATAACCAACCAAACCTCTATTTAAACTCACAGAGAACCTATACATGGTAATACAAGCTCTAATTCACCCATTAAACTGCTTAGGGATACCCAACACCCTAAGAATTTAAAGAATAAAACTCCAGCTGATAGATTCAAATGCATTCCTTAAATTAATTTTCAACGCACACCTAGATGACAAACATCTCCTCCCATAACCATACACAATTTCTTAACCAACCGAAAAATCACTCTTATTAAGAAGAATAATAAATGGAAATCACAACTTCAATATTTTTGCCATTATCTTGGTAATACATTTATACACAGTGCTATAACATGATATAAGCCTAAAACCAGTAGCCTGATCTGAAGCATGAACTTACCAATGTAATACCTTTACCCGATCTAGGTTTTTAACTAAGCAAGAGGTGTTACACTAGACATAGAAACAATATAAATTAGCTGACCCTTATTCCCATATGTAATGGGGTAAGGGGGAGGTAGGATAGTAGGCTGCCCCCAATGCCAGGTTGAGAGCAGCTTCCTTGGAGACCTCCAAATTATGAATTACCCCCCGTGGGACTCAATCCCACGACCCCAAGGTTAAGAGCCTTGTGCTCTACCAACTGAGCTGGATAGGCGATTCACATAAAAACAATATATATAGTCTAAAATAATTTATTAGTCATCATTTCATGAACAAGCAATTAATCACATCAGTGAAGCTTCTAAAACCATTTTGAAACTACCTTGAAAGAATTAAATCGATTAGATTTGAAGAAGATGGTTGAATGCTAATTTATGAACCTTAGAGACTATATTGTAAATATAAAATTTATGAGGACTATTTTAAAATTTACCTTTTTATTTACTAAATAATAGTTTAATAGATATATATTTTAAAAATAAGAATTCCAAAAAAATGACAATGGATTCTAACATCATATGCAAAAGTTATACAAAAAATACTAATATCAAGGGTTTGAAAACCACCTGGGGGTTTCAAAACCACATCAACTTTGAGTATTCTGCCGAAATGGTTTCAAAACCTCTTTTGGGGGTTTTGAAACCTCTGCTCTAATTCACTATAAATGTAATTTTCATCTCCAAGTGACCTTTATTTGTTCCCATGATCACTAAGTAACATCAAAATATGAATTTGGACATCAGAAAACACTCAACATACATTACATAATCCCTAAACTCCACCTATATGACCCATAAATATTTCTTATCCATTTAAAAATTTAAAGACTCTTTTGGAGGACAATCAAACACTTTTCAACACTTCAAAACCTTTTTACCCTTCTATGGGCCCTATGAGAAGGAGCTTGCAAATCACATCATTATGAATATAATTGAGTCCCTAAATATGGCTACATTAAAAAAACCACGTCAAAATACGAGTTGAGCCAAATAATTGAAATACATAGCATGACATTTAGGTTACTAATAGGTCCTGTAACACCTCTTTCCCGTATCTATCACCGAATACAAGTCAGAGATGTAATATAATACTTTTAAAATAGTTCTTATTCGAAAATTGGTAAAAAAATCGTTTGAAATCATCAAATTTAACATCAATCATAAAAAATATTTAATCACGTAAAATCAAAATATAATACTTTAACACCTAACTAAAATCCGATTTTAGGCAGCAACATGACAATTCAATACTGTATCATACTCTAAGTGAAATCGCCTAAATATAAATTCATCTTTATGCTATTAAAATATAACTTTATGAAAATATAAGACTTAATCTATATTCATAACCATTTTTACTTACTAGATTCACACATATAAACTATTATAAACCATTTAAACTTCATAGACATATCATAGCGTACGCGACCCATTTAAATCTAGTCATATAAAAATATTACTAACACTTATATATGTATACATGTGTTGAATTATGTTTCGATATAACACATTTAAAGGCAAAATGTTTTTGGACTTGAATTAAATTTATTCAAAGTTTTAAAAAGGTTTCAAAAATAATTCAAAGTCCATTAAATTTGGATTTGAGAAAAAAATGCTAAAGGGTGTCAAAGTGCATCCATGCACCCCTCCAGTGCATCCATGCACCCTTGCAATGCATCCATGCACCTGCCACTAGTGTATCGATGCACCATGTAGTGCAGCCATGCACTCCATTTCGAATGCAATTAGTGCATCCATGCACCAAGGCTGCAACGGCTAATTTATTTGAATTTAATGAAGGGGTATCGATGCACCTTGATAGTGCACCAATGCACCATGTTATGGGCAGCCTTTTTGAGTAGAAATATCATCCCCAAACGGCTCCAAAACATCCCCAACGGTTATATACGACATCAAACACATTCCAAGCTATAAATACAAGCTAAGGACACTTGAAGAAGTGAGAGAACAACTATCCAAGCAATCAAACACAAGAGAAGAGTTCTTCATTCTTATTTCATCTTTCTCTTGTAAATATTTTGTTCGTGTGAGCTTAATTCTTGTAAACACCTACCTTAGAGAGGTTTTTCTTGTTTACATTTCTTATCATTTTGTAAAGGGGAAATGTTTTAGTTTGGCCCGGAAAAACTAGGGAGTTGTAAGGTTATCTCTTTTTCCTTAAAAGAAAGAACAAATTAGTGAATTTGTTGGAAAATCCTTGGTGAGGAGATAAGGTAGTGGATGTATACTTTGGTTGATAAAGTCGAACCACTATAAATTGCTATGCAATTCTCTATCTTTCAGTCTCCTTACTCCCTAAACACAAAACCGTTCTGACCCCTCTTTGCAAACCGTTCCGGTTGTCGATTTGAGCTTCCGAAAATCCCAACAATTGGCATCAGAGCCTAACTCGTTAAGAAGGTTTAACCACCTTGAGACAATCCTCGAAGAAGCTCTACCAATTCCTGACACAACTGAGAAGATGACTTCTACCTCTGGCTCGTTCCACATGGTAAACTCCCTACCAACGTACAAGCCTCCATACTTTAATGGAGTCAACTATCGTCATTGGAAGAAATTAATGAAGGTATTTATCCAATCCAATGATCTTGATGCATGAGAGATAATCGAGAATGGCTACTCTTCTTTAAAGAAGAAGGAGAAGAAGAGGAGTGACAAAGAACGGAATAAAGCTCAACTTAATGCCAAGGCCATGCACATGGTGTTGTGTGCATTTGGTCCTGAAATCTATAAAGGAGTTTCTTCATGTTCAAGTGCCAAGGAGCTTTGGAATAAGCTCGAGGAAATCCATGGAAATAAGAAAGAAGAACCAACAAAGGTGGTGTCTTTAATGGTCCGTGAAGAGCCCGAGGTATCTTCTAACTCAAATGAATTTAATTCATATTCTTTTGATGAGTTACAATATGCTTATAATAAATTGTATTTGGGATTTGAGACCATGAATTCCAAATATAAGAAAATGATTTCAAAATATAAACAAGAAAACAATTTTCTTTTGAAAGTAAAAATGGATTTTGAAAACCAAAATGAAATTTTGAAAAAGGATTTAGAGTTTTCAAAAATGAAAATTGAAAGTTTTGAAAAAGGAAATTTTTATTTAAAAGTTAAGCTTGGATGCTTAACAAAAGAAAAAGAAATCATTTTAAATAATTTATCTAGTACAATAATGACAATATGCTCACATTTTCATTATCATGGTCATAAGGAACATACTTTTCCTTTGAAGAAAGGAAAATGTTTTAAAATTAGGCAAGTATGGGTTCCGAAAGGAACAAGGGGCATTAAAACTAACGTTCAAGGATCCAAAGCAATTTGGATACCAAAAGCTACTTAAATGTCTCTTGTAGGTGTGTGGGAGCAATGGTGATGAAAGTGATGATATTCAAGATGCTCTAGCCACACGTGAAAAAGGAACAGGTAACCTATAAGGTTAATGCTTTTAATTTTGGTTATTTGGTTGCTAATTTATTTTTTAGCATGCATGAGTTTTGGATTTAAATGATTATGTTTTGTTTTAATCTCATGTATGTTAAAAAAAATTGGTATGATGAGCATTTTAATGATTTAATGATCTTACATAATTCTTAGTTCATCATAATGAAATTTTGGTCAAAATGAGCTTTAATGCAAATGATATCTCTCTAACAATTGATATCAATTTTTCAAAAACTTTGATTTTACAAATTTTAAATTTTTGACCCAAAATTTAAATGTTTATACATGTGACTTAAATGAAAATGATATCTCTCTAACAATTGATATCAAAATTTTCAAATGCATAACATTTTTGGAAAACTTTATGCATATGCACTTAATTTCAATAATTAATATTGCATAAAGTATTTTAGACTTGGATATATTGAATTTCATGTACTACTAACATGTTTGTTATTCTTTGTTGAAATTCAATTTTGTTTAAGTGTCAAGTTCTTAAAGCTAAATTTTGTTTGGAACACATTTATTGAGGGGGAGCTTTGATTTTTCAAATAAGTTTTAAAATATCAAATTTACTACTTACTCTCCAAAGTTATTTTGAACTTCAAAGATTGAATTATTTTTTATATAACAAAAAAGGGGAGAAGTTTGGTTTGAAAAATTCAATTTCTTAATGAAAAAGCGGGAGCTTAACATTTTCATATATTTTCAAACAATTGGTAACAATTGATATCATTTTGTTA